GTGGTGAGACACGTGGAGGAAGTTTAAATAGTGTTGTCTGGGGTGGGTGAGACACGTGGAGGAAGTTTAAATAGTGTTGTCTGGGGGTGGGTGAGACACGTGGAGGAAGTTTAAATAGTGTTGTCTGGGGTGGGTGAGAGACACGTGGGAGGAAGTTTAAATAGTGTTGTCTGGGTGGGTTGAGACACGTGGCGGAAGTTTAAAATAGTGTTGTCTGGGGTGGGTGAGACACGTGGGAGGAAGTTTAAATAGTGTTGTCTGGGGTGGGTGAGAACACGTGGAGGAAGTTTAAATAGTGTTGTCTGGGGTGGGTGAGACACGTGGAGGAAGTTTAAATAGTGTTGTCTGGGGTGGGTGAGACACGTGGAGGAAGTTTAAATAGTGTTGTCTGGGGTGGGTGAGACACGTGGAGGAAGTTTAAATAGTGTTGTCTGGGGTGGTGATGAGACACGTGGAGGAAGTTTAAATAGTTGTTGTCTGGGGTGGGTGAGACACGTGGAGGAAGTTTAAATAGTGTTGTCTGGGGTGGGTGAGACACGTGGAGGAAGTTTAAATAGTGTTGTCTGGGGTGGGTGAGACACGTGGAGGAAGTTTAAATAGTGTTGTCTGGGGTGGGTGAGACACGTGGAGGAAGTTTAAATAGTGTTGTCTGGGGTGGGTGAGACACGTGGAGGAAGTTTAAATAGTGTTGTCTGGGGTGGGTGAGACACGTGGAGGAAGTTTAAATAGTGTTGTCTGGGGTGGGTGAGACACGTGGAAGGAAGTTTAAATAGTGTTGTCTGGGGTGGGTGAGACACGTGGAGGAAGTTTAAATAGTGTTGTCTGGGGTGGGTGAGACACGTGGAGGAAGTTTAAATAGTGTGTCTGGGGTGGGTGAGACACGTGGAGGAAGTTTAAATAGTGTTGTCTGGGGTGGGTGAGACACGTGGAGGAAGTTTAAATAGTGTTGTCTGGGGTGGGTGAGACACGTGGAGGAAGTTTAAATAGTGTTGTCTGGGGTGGGTGAGACACGTGGAGGAAGTTTAAATAGTGTTGTCTGGGGTGGGTGAGACACGTGGAGGAAGTTTAATAGTGTTGTCCTGGGGTGGGTGAGACACGTGGAGGAAGTTTAATAGTGTTGTCTGGGGTGGGTGAGACACGTGGAGGAAGTTTAAATAGTGTTGTCTGGGTGGGTGAGACACGTGGAGGAAGTTTAAATAGTGTTGTCTGGGGTGGGTGAGACACGTGGAGGAAGTTTAAATAGTGTTGTCCTGGGTGGGTGAGACACGTGGAGGAAGTTTAAATAGTGTTGTCTGGGGTGGGTGAGACACGTAGGGGGAAGTTTAAATAGTGTTGTCTGGGGTGGGTGAGACACGTGGAGGAAGTTTAAATAGTGTTGTCTGGGGTGGGTGAGACACGTGGAGGAAGTTTAAATAGTGTTGTCTGGGGTGGGTGAGACACGTGGAGGAAGTTTAAATAGTGTTGTCTGGGGTGGGTGAGACACGTGGAGGAAGTTTAAATAGTGTTGTCTGGGGTGGGTGAGACACGTGGAGGAAGTTTAAATAGTGTTGTCTGGGGTGGGTGAGACACGTGGAGGAAGTTTAAATAGTGTTGTCTGGGGTGGGTGAGACACGTGGAGGAAGTTTAAATAGTGTTGTCTGGGGTGGGTGAGACACGTGGAGGAAGTTTAAATAGTGTTGTCTGGGGTGGGTGAGACACGTGGAGGAAGTTTAAATAGTGTTGTCTGGGGTGGGTGAGACACGTGGAGGAAGTTTAAATAGTGTTGTCTGGGGTGGGTGAGACACGTGGAGGAAGTTTAAATAGTGTTGTCTGGGGTGGGTGAGACACGTGGAGGAAGTTTAAATAGTGTTGTCTGGGGTGGGTGAGACACGTGGAGGAAGTTTAAATAGTGTTGTCTGGGGTGGGTGAGACACGTGGAGGAAGTTTAAATAGTGTTGTCTGGGGTGGGTGAGACACGTGGAGGAAGTTAAATAGTGTTGTCTGGGGTGGGTGAGACACGTGGAGGAAGTTTAAAATAGTGTTGTCTGGGGTGGGTGAGAACACGTGGAGGAAGTTTAAATAGTGTTGTCTGGGTGGGTGAGACACGTGGAGGAAGTTTAAATAGTGTTGTCTGGGGTTGGGTGAGAGGCTAACGTGTGAGGAAGTTTCAATAGTGTTGTCTGGGGATGGGGTGAGACAAGCGTGGTAGGAAGTTTAAATAGTGTTGTCTGGGGTGGGTGAGACACGTGGAGGAGAAGTTTAAAATAGTGTTGTCTGAAGGTTAGGGTGAGAGCACGTGGAGGAAGTTTAAATAGTTGTTGTCTGGGTGTGGGTGAGACACGTGGAGGAAGTTTAAATAGTGTTGTCTGGGGTGGGTGAGACACGTGGAGGAAGTTTAAATAGTGTTGTCTGGGGAGGGTGAGACACGTGGAGGAAGTTTAAATAGTGTTGTCTGGGGTGGGTGAGACACGTGGAGGAAGTTTAAATAGTGTTGTCTGGGGTGGGTGAGACACGTGGAGGAAGTTTAAATAGTGTTGTCTGGGGTGGGTGAGACACGTGGAGGAAGTTTAAATAGTGTTTGTCTGGGTAGGGTGAGACACGTGGGGGGAAGTTTAAATAGTGTTGTCTGGGGTGGGTGAGACACGTGGAGGAAGTTTAAATAGTGTTGTCTGGGGTGGGTGAGACACGTGGAGGAAGTTTAAATAGTGTTGTCTGGGGTGGGTGAGACACGTGGAGGAAGTTTAAATAGTGTTGTCTGGGGTGGGTGAGACACGTGGGGGAAGTTTAAATAGTGTTGTCTGGGTAGGTGATACAGAGGGGGAAGTTTAAATAGTGTTGTCTGGGGTGGGTGAGACACGTGGAGGAAGTTTAAATAGTGTTGTCTGGGTAGGTGATACAGAGGGGGAAGTTTAAATAGTGTTGTCTGGGGTGGGTGAGACACGTGGAGGAAGTTTAAATAGTGTTGTCTGGGGTGGGTGAGACACGTGGAGGAAGTTTAAATAGTGTTGTCTGGGGTGGGTGAGACACGTGGAGGAAGTTTAAATAGTGTTGTCTGGGGTGGGTGAGACACGTGGGGGAAGTTTAAATAGTGTTGTCTGGGGTGGGTGAGACACGTGGAGGAAGTTTAAATAGTGTTGTCTGGGGTGGGTGAGACACGTGGGGGAAGTTTAAATAGTGTTGTCTGGGGTGTGTGAGACACGTGGAGGAAGTTTAAATAGTGTTGTCTGGGGTGGGTGAGACACGTGGAGGAAGTTTAAATAGTGTTCTCTGGGGTGGGTGAGACACGTGGAGGAAGTTTAAATAGTGTTGTCTGGGGTGGGTGAGACACGTGGAGGAAGTTTAAATAGTGTTGTCTGGGTAGGGTGAGACACGTGGAGGAAGTTTAAATAGTGTGTCTGGGGTGGGTGAGACACGTGGAGGAAGTTAAATAGTGTTGTCTGGGGTGGGTGAGACACGTGGAGGAAGTTTTAAATAGTGTTGTCTGGGGTGGGTGAGACACGTGGAGGAAGTTTAAATAGTGTTGTCTGGGGTGGGTGAGACACGTGGAGGAAGTTTAAATAGTGTTGTCTGGGGTGGGTGAGACACGTGGGGGAAGTTTAAATAGTGTTGTCTGGGGTGGGTGAGACACGTGGAGGAAGTTTAAATAGTGTTGTCTGGGGTGGGTGAGGACACGTGGAGGAAGTTTAAATAGTGTTGTCTGGGGTGGGTGAGACACGTGGAGGAAGTTTAAATAGTGTTGTGTGGGTAGGTGAGACACGTGGAGGAAGTTTAAATAGTGTTGTCTGGGGTGGGTGAGACACGTGGAGGAAGTTTAAATAGTGTTGTCTGGGGTGGGTGAGACACGTGGAGGAAGTTTAAATAGTGTTGTCTGGGTAGGGTGAGACACGTGGAGGAAGTTTAAATAGTGTTGTCTGGGGTGGGTGAGACACGTGGAGGAAGTTTAAATAGTGTTGTCTGGGTGGGGTGAGACACGTGGAGGAAGTTTAAATAGTGTTGTCTGGGGTGGGTGAGACACGTGGAGGAAGTTTAAATAGTGTTGTCTGGGGTGGGTGAGACACGTGGGGGAAGTTTAAATAGTGTTGTCTGGGGTGGGTGAGACACGTGGAGGAAGTTTAAATAGTGTTGTCTGGGGTGGTGATACAGGTAGGGGAAGTTTAAATAGTGTTGTCTGGGGTGGGTGAGACACGTGGGGAAGTTTAAATAGTGTTGTCTGGGGTGGGTGAGACACGTGGAGGAAGTTTAAATAGTGTTGTCTGGGGTGGGTGAGACACGTGGAGGAAGTTTAAATAGTGTTGTCCTGGGGTGGGTGAGACACGTGGAGGAAGTTTAAATAGTGTGTCTGGGGTGAGTGTTTTTGGGTGAGGACACGGGAGGAAGTTTAAAATAGTGTTGTCTGGGGTGGGTGAGACACGTGGGGGAAGTTTAAATAGTGTTGTCTGGGGTGGGGTGAGACACGTGGAGGAAGTTTAAATAGTGTTGTCTGGGGTGGGTGAGACACGTGGAGGTAAGTTTAAATAGTGTTGTCTGGGGTGGGCTGAGACACGTGGAGGAAGTTTTAATAGTGTTGTCTGGGGTGGGTGAGGACACGTGGAGGAAGTTAAATAGTGTTGTTCTGGGGTGGGTGAGACACGTGGAGGAAGTTTTAAATAGTGTTGTCTGGGGTGGGTGAGACACGTGGAGGAAGTTTAAATACGTGTTGTCTGGGGTGGGTGAGACACGTGGAGGAAGTTAAATAGTGTTGTCTGGGGCTGGTGATGAGACACGTGGGGGAAGTTTAATAGTGTTGTCTGGGGTGGGTGAGACACGTGGAGGAAGTTTTAAATAGTGTTGTCTGGGGTGGGTGAGACACGTGGAGGAAGTTTAAATAGTGTTGTCTGGGGTGGGTGAGACACGTGGAGGAAGTTAAATAGTGTTGCTGGGGTGGGTGAGACACGTGGAGGAAGTTTAAATAGTGTTGTCTGGGGGGGTGAGACACGTGGAGGAAGTTTAAATAGTGTTGTCTGGGGTGGGTGAGACACGTGGAGGAAGTTTAAATAGTGTTGTCTGGGTGGGGTGAGACACGTGGAGGAAGTTTAAATAGTGTTGTCTGGGTAGGTGAGACACGTGGAGGAAGTTTTAAATTAAGGTTGTTCTGGGGTGGGTGAGACACGTGGAGGAAGTTTAAATAGTGTTGTCTGGGTCGGGGTGAGACACGTGGAGGAAGTTTAAATATGTGTTGTCTGGGGTGGGTGAGACACGTGGAGGAAGTTTAAATGTGTTGGTCTGGGGTGGGTGAGACACGTGGAGGAAGTTTAAATAGTGTTGTCTGGGTAGGGTGAGACACGTGGAGGAAGTTAAATAGTGTTGTCTGGGTAGGGTGAGACACGTCGGAGGAAGTTTAAATAGTGTTGTCTGGGTGGGTGAGACACGTGGAGGAAGTTTAAATAGTGTTGTCTGGGGTGGGTGAGACACGTGGAGGAAGTTTAAATAGTGTTGTCTGGGGTGGGTGAGACACGTGGAGGAAGTTTAAATAGTGTTGTCTGGGGTGGGTGAGACACGTGGAGGAAGTTTAAATAGTGTTGTCTGGGGTGGGTGAGACACGTGGAGGAAGTTTAAATAGTGTTGTCTGGGGTGGGTGAGACACGTGGGGGAAGTTTAAATAGTGTTGTCTGGGGTGGGTGAGACACGTGGAGGAAGTTTAAATAGTGTTGTCTGGGGTGGGTGAGACACGTGGAGGAAGATTAAATAGTGTTGTCTGGGGTGGGTGAGACAGGTCGTCCCCAGCGACCCCCGTGACCCCTGTGACCCCCACGACCCCCGTGACCCCCGTGACCCCCGTGACCCCCACCGGTATCTCCACAGGAGGTCCTTTTCCTGCTCCGTGATGTCCGAGAGAGGGTCACGGTTACAGATCCCCTTGATCTGCTCGCGGTCCGAGTCGGGCAACTCACAGTCCCTGGGCCACCGTCCTCCACTAGCCTGCAACAACAACAACCACCACCACAACCACAGTCACCACCACCACCAACAACAACACAACTACAGCCACCACCACCACCACAACCACAGTCACCATCACAACCACAGTCACCACCACAACCACAGTCCCTGGGCCACCGTCCTCCACTAGCCTGCAACAACAACAACCACCACCACAACCACAGCCACCACCACCACCAACAACAACACAACTACAGCCACCACCACCACCACAACCACAGTCACCATCACAACCACAGTCACCACCACAACCACAGTCCCTGGGCCACCGTCCTCCACTAGCCTGCACCAACAACAACAACAATCACCACCATAACCACCACCACCACAGTCACCACCACCACCACCACAGTCACCACAACCACAGTCACCACCAACACCACCACCACAGTCACCATCACAACCACAGTCACCATCACAACCACAGTCCCTGGGCCACCGTCCTCCACTAGCCTGCAACAACAACAACAACCACCAACAACACAACCACAGTCACCACCACCACCACAACCACAGTCACCACCACCACAACCGCAGTCACCATCACAACCACAACCACCACCACCACCAACAACACCACCACCACAGTCACCACCAACACCACAACCACCACCACCATAACCACAGTCACCACCAACACCACAACCACAGTCACCACCACCACCACAACCACCACTACCATAACCACAGTCACCACCAACACCACAACCACAGTCACCACCACCACGACAACCACCACCACCACCATAACCACCACCACCATAACCATAGTCACCACCAACACCACAACCACCGTCCTCCACTAGCCTGCAACAACAACAACAACCACAGTCACCACAACCACCACAGTCACCACAACAACCACAGTCACCACAAACACCACAACCACCGTCCTCCACTAGCCTGCAACAACAACAACCACCACCACCACAACCATAACCACCACCACAGTCACCACCACAACCACCACAACCACAGTCACCAGCAACACCACCAACACCACAACCACAGTCACCACCAACACCACCACCACAACCACAGTCACCATCATAACCACAGTCACCACCACAACCACAGTCCCTGGGCCACCGTCCTCCACTAGCCTGCAACAACAACTACCACCACCACCACCACCAACAACACAACCACAGTCACCACCAACACCACCACCACAACCACAGTCACCAGCACCACCACCAACACCACAACCACAGTCACCACCAACACCACAACCACCGTCCTTCCACTAGCCTGCAACAACAACCACCACCACCACAACCACAGTCACCACCACAACCACCACAACCACAGTCACCATCACAACCACAGTCACCACCAACACCACAACCACAGTCACCATCACAACCACAACCACCACAGTCACCACCAACACCACAACCACCGTCCTCCACTAGCCTGCAACAACAACAACCACCACAGTCACCACCACAGTCACCACCACAACCACAGTCCACCAACACCACAACCACAGTCACCATCACAACCACAACCACCACCAACACCACAACTACCGTCCTCCACTAGCCTACAACAACCACCACCACCACCACAACCACAGTCACCACAACCACCACAACAGTCACAACCACAACCACAGTCACCACCAACACCACAACCACCACAACCACAGTCACCACCACCACAACCACAACCACCACCAACACCACAACCACCGTCCTCCACTAGCCTGCAACAACAACCACCACCACCACCACAACCATCACCACCATCACCACAACCACAGTCACCACCAGCACCACAACCACAACCACAGTCACCACCACCACCACAACCACAGTCACCACCAACACCACAACCACCACAACCACAGTCACCACAAACACCACAACCACCGTCCTCCACTAGCCTGCAACAACAACAACCACCACCACCACAACCATAACCACCACCACAGTCACCACCACAACCACCACAACCACAGTCACCAGCAACACCACCAACACCACAACCACAGTCACCACCAACACCACCACCACAACCACAGTCACCATCATAACCACAGTCACCACCACAACCACAGTCCCTGGGCCACCGTCCTCCACTAGCCTGCAACAACAACTACCACCACCACCAACAACACAACCACAGTCACCACCAACACCACCACCACAACCACAGTCACCAGCACCACCACCAACACCACAACCACCGTCCTTCCACTAGCCTGCAACAACAACCACCACCACCACAACCACAGTCACCACCACAACCACCACAACCACAGTCACCATCACAACCACAGTCACCACCAACACCACAACCACAGTCACCATCACAACCACAACCACCACAGTCACCACCAACACCACAACCACCGTCCTCCACTAGCCTGCAACAACAACAACCACCACAGTCACCACCACAGTCACCACCACAACCACAGTCCACCAACACCACAACCACAGTCACCATCACAACCACAACCACCACCAACACCACAACTACCGTCCTCCACTAGCCTACAACAACCACCACCACCACAACCACAGTCACCACAACCACCACAACAGTCACAACCACAACCACAGTCACCACCAACACCACAACCACCACAACCACAGTCACCACCACCACAACCACAACCACCACCAACACCACAACCACCGTCCTCCACTAGCCTGCAACAACAACCACCACCACAACCATCACCACCAACACCACAACCACAGTCACCACCAGCACCACAACCACAACCACAGTCACCACCACCACCACAACCACAGTCACCACCAACACCACAACCACCACAACCACATTCACCACCAACACCACAACCACCATCCTCCACTAGCCTGCAACAACAACCACCACAACCACAACCACCACCAACACCACAACCACTACAGTCACCACCACCACAACAACCACCACAACCACCACAGTCACCATCACAACAACAGTCTCCACAACAACCACAGTCACCACCACAACCACTACAGTCACTACAACAACCACACAACCACCACGACAGTCACCACCACCACCACCACAACAACAGTCACCATCACAACCACAACCATCACAGCCACTAGAGTCACCACCACCACCACAACCACTATAGTCACCATCACCACAACCACAGTCACCACAACAACCACAGTCACCACCACAACCACTACAACAACCACACAACCACCACAACCAGTCACCACCACAACCACAGTCACCACCACAACCACAGTCACCACCACAACCACAGTCACCACAACCACAACAACAGTCATCACCACAGTCACTACCGCCACCACCACCTCAACCACCACCACCACCACCACAGTCACAACCTGATGCTACTGCTGCTGATGCTACTGCTGCTGATGATGCTACTGCTGGTGATGATGATGCTGATGCTATTGCTGCTGATGATGCTGCTGCTGCTGCTGCTGATGCTACTGCTGATGATGCTGCTGAAGATGATGCTACTGCTGCTGCTGATGATGCTGGTGATGATGATGTTACTGCTGCTGATGATGCTGCTGCTGATACTGATGATGCTGCTGCCAATGATGCTACTACTGATGGTGATGCTACTACTGATGGTGATGCTGCTGCTGCTGCTGCTGATGCTGCTGCTGATGATGATGCTGCTGCTGCTGCTGATGATGCTGCTGCTGCTGCTGCTGCTGATGATGCTGCTGGAGACCTTGGAGCCCAGCGTGCCGCCCGCCGTCTCGGGCTGCAGGATCCTCCTCCCGTGGTCCTCCAACCCCTCGACGCCGGGGAAGCGAACAGCTCCACCAAACCACTCAAACTCCACCTCCAGGCAGGGCGTCTCCTACACAACAACATCACCATCATCACCACCAACATCATCATCACCATCACCAACATCATCATCAACATCATCATCACCATCACCAACATCATCATCAACATCATCATCACCATCATCATCACCACCATCATCACCAACATCATCATCACCACCATCATCACCAACATCATCATCAACATCATCATCACCATCATCATCATCATCACCACCACCATCATCATCATC